CACACACACACACACACACACACAGGGCCTCGCCACAGCCAAAACGAAACAAACTACGCGCTGCGCACCTGTGCCCTCACGGTAAGTCAATAGTAGCTTAGGGGCAGGCTCGACCGGGGCTATGTCTCTGTTCGGAAAGCAGGAACCTGGCGGCAATAACGCCCACGTAGGCACGTGGGACCTGGCCCTTAGCATTTCCTACACTGCAGTAGGTAGCTCTGGCGCACACGTCACACTGCGCGCCGGCTGCGTCTACCCTAGGCGACGCCTACCCGTCTGCCCCCGAACACAACGCTCCCTCATTTTGGCCGTATCTGGCAGGAAATATAGCTTGTATACAGTCATTTTTAGGGTGCGTTATGTTCGGGGGAAGACGGGCCTCCGACTTCGGTTTGGTTCTATGTGCAGCGGCGTGAGGACCGGGAGAGGTAGGTCCGGTCCCTACCCCCGCGGGATTGAACGCGAGCCAAGCAGGGTCGGCTCTAGGCGCGGCGGCAAACTCGGAGCACCCTGATAGCGGCGGGACCCGAGCCTCGACGCCAGTCTTGGTCGGCTTCGGAGAGCGCCAAAGGACGCATAGCGATGGCGGTAGTTTCTGCTGGCCGTGATTAGAATTCTGAGGAATCTCAATTTCAATTTCAATTTTAATTTCAAATTTCGATTTCAATTTCGATTTCGATGATGCAGTGCGGACGTCTCAGGAATGCTGACGTGGCAGCGCGGTGGGCTGTTGGGGTATGTGAGAGGGGAACGACTGCTGACGTGTTATTATGCTGGTGACGGTGGCTGTAAGGGGGGCAGCTATAAGGGGGCTCTGCAGGCAGAGTCACCATCGCGATCAGTTGCGCCACGTGTGGGGGCGTTGGACACGTGGGCGGGGTGGTCGGCGAGGGAGTTCGGAAGGTCGGTGGGGTGGCCGGCGTTGGACACGTGGCGCTCGCGTGGGGGATGATGATGTGAAGAAATGAATGGAACGGTCAGGGCGCCTTGGGGGCGGGGGAATTAGCTGATGTTTTCACCTGTGGCGCCGGATGAGGAGTGAAAGCTGCCGATCGGGGGGTTGATTCTATCTGTGTATCAACCAATCAGGGTGCAGGAATGCACAGCAGGATAATGTCCTTGATTGGTTTCACGAGAATGACAGTGGCAGGATGGAGACCGCCCAAACCCAGCGTGAGGTATCTCGATCTTTCCGCTTGGATGGGGTAAGCAATAACCGGTAGGGCCAACCCGAGCTGCGGAGGTGGAGGAGGAGGAAGATCTCAACCAGGCTCGGAAAAGTTCCCAGCTGGCGATCGTGAGTAGGCGCCAACCCGAGCTGCTGTCGTTTACCCCGCTGGCTGGCTCATTCACACCCAGCTGAACACCTACGGATCTTTACCCTCTACTTTGCGGCTTTTGGCACTGTGCTGTGGGGCCTTGGCTCTGTGTGTGTCACACACACACTCACAGGGGGGGGGAGAGAGAGAGAGAGAGAGAGGGAGAGAGAGAGAGAGAGAGAGAGAGAGAGAGAGAGAGAGAGAGAGGCGCAGACGGGGAGAGAGAGAGAGAGGGTGATAGGAGGAGTTGAGAGAGGGAAGAGGGGGGAAAGATGTCGGTCGCGGCGGGCGTGACCGAGGCCGCTTTGGCGGTCAGAGAGAAGCTGCGCTTGCGGCAGGTGAAGGTGAAACGTTATTGGCCGGGAAAGGCACCAGAATGGGCTGTGGAGGTGGAGGAGGAGGAAGATCTGACGGTCGCGATCCCGGCGGCAGGGGAGAAGGGAGCGGCGGGGGAAAAGCCGAAGTTGAAGACTGATGATCCCCGGCTGAGGAGAATTGCGGAGAGCAGGAGGGAGAGGGAGGAGGCCATTGCGCGCCATCGACAGATCAGAGCTGCGGAGGTGGTCTCCACGCGTGAGGATGATGAGAGGCGGGCTTTGGCGGCCGCTAGAAGGGGTTATGCCTCCGAGGAGGAGGATGAGGAAGACGAGGAGGAAGAGGATGATGAGGAGATCGAGGCCAGGCGAGCGCGGATCCGAGCAAGGCTTTTGGCTCGTCAGAAAGATGAAGAGCTTCCGCCGGAGGAGGAGGAGGAGGACGAGGAAGACGAGGAAGAAGGTAGCGAGTACGAGACTGATTCTGAAGAGGAGTACGCCGGCGTGGCTATGGTGAAGCCTGTGTTCGTCCCGCGCGGCGAGAGGGAAACCATCGCCGAGAGGGAACGCCTCGAGCAGCAAGAGGCGGCGTTATTGGAAGCCGCGAAGAAGAGACTGGAGGTGAGGAAGGTGGAGACGAAGCAGATCGTCGTAGAGGAGATTCGGAAGGAAGAGGAGGTCGAGAGAAATAAGGGTGAGTACTAATTAGGGTGAGTAATACAGGAATAAAGAGTGAGAGAAATAAGGGGGGGGTAGAGCGAGGCATGAAAGGTGAAGAGGAGATCGAGAGAAATAAGGGTGAGTACTAATTAGGGTGAGTAATACAGGAATAAAGGGTGAGATAAATAAGGGGGGGGGAGAACGAGG